TAATTTCCCAAGCTTCTTCATATCCACTTCTGTATGGTGCTAGGGATATGGCAATGTTGACACACACACACACACACACACACACACACAGACATTATAACAGAGTAAATAATGTTGCAAAAATTGATTTTCAAAATTTACCACTTAGGTTATTCAAGCAAGAATTAATCCACACCAAAACAACACTTTATATAAACTTGATTTCAGAAATTTTGTCTCCCTTCTCTATCCTAAGCAACATTTTCCCACATTAGAACAATAATATTACTACTAAGTTCTCATCTACTGATTTAATCCCTAGATATAACTTTATATTTTTACCTGATCTGCACTTACAGTTCCTTCTTTAATTTTTTGTCTCCGTTAATACTAAAAACTAAAATTTTTCTATTTAGCGACATTATTTCTATTACACACACACACACACACACACACACACACACACAGCTAAACTCTCTAGATAAAGGAGTCATATCAACACTTTCTCTATGTGTTTTTCCAATTTTCTCTTAAGTCATCTTAAGCCAAACCAACAGCATGATTACTAACACTTCAGTATCTATTCCATAATGCCAACTTTGTTATAATCTCTCAATGTGATTACAATTTTTTATAAATAAGACAGTAAGTAATAAGTTCACCACATACTTAGGCTGGCCTGGAGAAAAGACCTTGGATTTATTTTCACACAGTCTATTTAGAAAATACTGACAGAAAATAATTGTGAAATGTTATGTGCAAAGAGACTTTAACCTGCTAACCCTACTTGGAATGCATGACCTGTAGCCTCACTCGAGTTGAATAAGGCATGTTTGATATGTAAATCTTACTCAACATTACTCTATCTGTATATATACAAAGTGCACTGACAACTAGATATTTTTGTTTCTCCGTATCAGGCGCGCGCACACACACACGCACACACACACACACACACACACACACACCTAGGCTTCTATATGAATTAAGTCATAAAATATTTATAGGGTGGTTAGTGCAAAATAAAACTGTGCATGAGTAACTATTAGATCTCTCAATGATATGACATTAGTCCATTTTGCATATTACAGACTTCTATAAAGCTAAGTAAACATCATGTTAGATTAAAATTCTCTATATCCTGTGTGATTAATTTACCACCTAACTCAGGTACCATAACTATACCTTTATATTTATTTTCTTATTCTTTCACTCTCAATTATGAATTGCCAGCACTAAAGACAAACACATGAAAAGAAAAATCCATACAACAAACATAAATCTGCTCAAATTTATCTGGAAAGAAACAAATAGAATGCCAGAATCTTAAAAATTCCTACTATAATCAGGAAGCTATCCTGATTATTTTTTATGGGAACACTTTTTTATCAGTGTAATAAATTTTGTCCTCCATTGTCATTCTTGCATATATTATCAGAATGTAGCTTATTATAAATAAATATTTTATTAAAGCTGTAATTTATTCAATGGCTTTTTCAGAACATCTAAATCTTAGAATACTAATTTTGCTTTGCAATTAATAATAATATTTAAGTGATTAGTAATGAAAGTCTATCTTGGTATGACTGTCAGTGTAATGTTACAATTTACTGAAAATGTATGTGGCTTTTTATAAATATAATTTATTGTCAAATTGGCTTACATACAACACCCAGTGCTCATCCCAACAAGTGTCCTCCTCAACCCATCACCCAATTTCCCTCTCCCCCACCCCTCCATCCACCTTTAGTTTGTTTTTTGTATTTAATAGTCTCTTGTGGTTTGCCTCCCACCCTCTCTGTTTAGAAGACCATGGGGGAAGCGGAGGGGAAAAATAGATGAAAATATATGTGTTTAAAAGACAACACTCAACCTATCCTGAAAACATCAATCTTTAGGTACCAAGTAACACATTTACAAATATTAGACGATATTCCTAAGAAATGTGTTAGCTAATATTTGGGTTAGTTTGATGAGATATTTCATTTTATTTTGTTTCATTTTATTTTCATTTTTAAATGAAGTTTAAAAAATTTAAAAATGTCATTTTTAAATGTTTATTCATTTTGAGAGAGAGAGAGAGCAGGGAAGGGGCAGGGAGACAGAGAGAGAGAGGAAGAGAATACCAAGTATTTTCTGCACTGTTGGTTAGCACAGAGCCTGATGCAGGACTTGATCCCATAAACCGTGAGATAATGCTCTGAGCCAAAAATCAAGAGTTGGATGCTTAACCTACTGAGCCACCCAGGTACCCCTGAGATATTTTAACTTTCTATTAAAATATATGTGTAGAAAAGTGCATATATGAAAATTGTTTACATTAGGGCTTTACATTAGGGACTTTAAGGACATTAAGGACTTTAAGTAATAATATATCAATGTAGGTTCAGTATACTACTCTAATGTAGTATACTGTAGTAAATGTAACTTCTAAAATTTGCACCATCCAAACCAATTAATCAAGACAGAAAAATCACAAATATTCCAAACATTGCAGAAACCACCCAGTTATCTTATTTCCATGACTATCTCCCATATGACTTTCCATGAGTAACTCATTTTCAGATCATAGATTAGTAAATATTCAAGAGATATAGATAAGATAATTTCAAAATAGAACTACCTGGCATGTAGAGAACACTGCATCCACAATGATATAATTACATGCTAGTGTAATTATAACTGTAATATTTATTAAATTGTGCCATACCCGGGGCCATGACAGAGATAAAAAATTATTCTAAAGTAATAACATCAAAGTATGTTTTTTATCATATGAAATTAGGTTAGGAATGAGTAATAAAAGTCAAAAGAAAAAGCCTAACTTCTTGGAAATTAACCAATGCCTTTATAAATAATCCATAATTCAAAAATAAATCAACATAGAAACTAGAAAATATATTTATATGAGTAATAGTGAGGATGTAAATGCTAAACTTGTGCTCATGAAACTAGAAAGTGCTTACAAGGAAATTTAGAGTGAAAAAAATATATTAGAATCAGGGAATGCTAAAAAATCAATCAATTCTATTTTACAAGAATCTAGATAAAGATAAATAATAATCCAGAAGAGTATAAGGAAAACTTAAAGAGGTTGAGAGCAGAAATAAGCAAAATAAAAAGCATGCTTATAAAAGGAAAAAATAGCAAAAAATAATAATTTGAAATAATATGATTGAAATCCTCCTAGCAAGATCAATCAAGAATGATAGATAACAGATATGAATGTCTGTAAGAAATACAAAATAAGAAGATATTACTAAAAAATTTACTGTAATGAATTTGATGTTTCAAATAAAATGTTCATCTAACTAGTAAGAATCTTGAGCAAATGATGCAGTCACAAAGAGAGCAAAATTATATAATCACATTTTTATAAACAAAAAAATAACAAAAAAATAAAAAAAGTGAAATACATTTTTAGAAGAATTGCATTTGGGGCTATGAGGCTGGATCTGGTCATAAGGAAGATTCTATTGCGTTATATTTTTATTGTATATCTGAGTTCTGTACTATTATAGCATACTAATATGGACAATTTACTGCATAGATATTATGCATCAATATGCTATTATACTGTTTGGATTGAGTTAGTAGCACCAATTCCATGAACCTGTGAATCTACTAATGGTAACAAATAGACAAGTAGGGGATTGCGAGAATACGCTTTTTAAATAAAAACATGTCCTGGGGCGCCTGGGTGGCTCAGTCGGTTAAGCGGCCGACTTTGGCTCAGGTCATGATCTCATGGTCCGTGGGTTCAGGCCCCCCGTCGGGCTCTGTGCTGACAGCTCAGAGCCTGGAGCCTGTTTCAGATTCTGTGTCTCCCTCTCTCTTACCCTCCCCAGTTCATGCTTTGTCTCTCTCTGTCTCAAAAAATAAATAAACGTTAAAAAAATTAAAAAAAAAACAAAAAAACAAAAAAACATGTCCTATTGGTCCTGATATCTGTATGCCTGTTCAAAGGTTTGTTAATGATTGAGGTTCTAGAGTCATTTCAATACCTGGCAGAAATAATTCCCTCTTTGATCTATGACTGAGTCCTTTAGAATTACCTCCTATTGTTCTAGAGAATAAATATAAATAAAAAATCCATAATAAATTAATACAAAAATAAGTAGTACTTGATAGGAGTTGTGACAGAACTTTGTTAAGAAAAAATTGCCTTTTTTTCAATATATGAAATTTATTGTCAAATTGGTTTCCATACAACACCCAGTGCTCATCCCAAAAGGTGCCCTCCTCAATACCCATCACGCACCCACCCCTCCCTCCCACCCCCCAAAAATTGCCTATTCATAAAGCATTTACCACTAGGTCCCAAGTAACACAAAATCCTCAACAAGGCATGCCAGGAAATATAGAAACCATTTTTCTTAAGGATGCATATTTCAAGTTTTAGTAAGAAATCATAATGATATGATATTTCCATATCTCTCCATTTGATGCTTTTAACATCATATCTTTTTAAGTACAGAATAGTATTGCAAATTGAACCATTTTGTGTTTCAAAATAATTATTGAGAATTTAATCATATAAAAATTTTATGGTCTTAAAGAGATCTAACAAAATTTCACATATGGCTTCTCATGTTGTAAAACTGAGAAACAATTCAAGTCAATCCTCAAAAATTAAGGTAGAAGCAGAAATGTAATGCAGTGTGACCACAAAAGCTTTGTGAATCATGGAGTCTCTCTTCTGAAATTTCAATAATTAAACAAACACAGAAAATCTGATAATATTTGGATTTCACTCTAACAATTTTTTATCTGATCTGAAACTGCCAAAAAAATTCTCTTAAATTCTACATGTTTCCATCAAAGCAGAAAATAATTACAATGAAAAAACAAATTATAACAATACAATAATGTAGATAACCCTGATAAGAGTCTCAATGAGGAAAATGACACATTATAAAAATATTCATAAATAAGCTTCTTAAAAGATGAACACAGAGACCTCAGGACCTGGCACACAGAATTTGACATATGAACTTCAAAAGATCTTTGTTGTTACTCACCTCTATTCCTTGAAGTGGAAAACCTGATTCCAATCCTATCTCAGCAAAACTTGACAGAAAGAAAAGCAAAAACAAGGTATCAAAAAATATTCAACAGCAAAATTAACAAAAAACTAAAATTGGTTCCATTGTCATTATTTAATATAGGCATACATTTTTTTTCTTCTTTTAGTCCAAATGGGAATTTCAGTACCCACTACTATTGCTTCTCTCCTTATTAATTCATTCATTTTTATTCTCTTATTTGTTACTTAAGAACATATTTTCTATATACAAGTATCTCTCTACAACTGTGTGTTCAAAGTGAGAAAATGGAGCAAGTCTTGGATTACTGATCATATCTAAATGTGCATAGTGCCTTATAAAATAGGACACAAATGCTTTTTTCTTAGAAAAATATAAATCATGCTAACAGTGGTATTGTGTTGGCACTGAGAGGTCACCAAAGAGAGCCAGGCCTTGAAAGTCTTTTTTGTTCTAGTAAAGGGCAATTCATCTGAACCTCAGATTGACATCTGGAATCAATCCCTCAGGATCCTCAGACAATTGTGCTCATCATTGATCTAGGCAGGCACCCTCCCAACAAATAATCATTTCCATAACCAGGCTGATTTTGTGTAGATTTGATTAAAGAACAGTAAACATGTAGTAGACATTTTATTTAGTATCTTAATAATATGATTCATATATATATACCATTAAAATGCTACCTTTGTTCTAATAAATTAGATAAGATATATTGAGGATATATAAAACCCTTTAATCAGCTAAAATTTTAAGGAGCAAATGAGGTAGCAAAAATAATATGATTATAGTATAAATATAAGTAGAAGCATCTATATTATGAATATTTCAGATAAATATAAAAAATCAGTATTTATCACAGTTGAATTTCACTACAAGATTATTTTTATTCAATACAAAATTGTGAAAAAAAGAAATATGGAAATGATTCCCCAAAGTTATTCAAGTTATTTTGAAAAGATATATTAAAAAGTAAAGAAACAATAATGAGGATTCCTTGATCCACGTAGGTATATTCATTGGGAAAAATATCTATCATTAAAATATTTTTCCTTGAACTTTTGAAAGAACTAACTCACAGATTTTGAAATACTGATACCACTGGCCAAAAACACATAAGAATTTCAAAAGTACCAGGATAGCAACTAACCTTTCTTTCTTGAAAGTAACTTGTTCACTTGAAAAAAAAATAGTAACCTGTTCTAGCTTTTGACCTGAAAAACATTACCAAAAAAGAAAAGATGAGACAATGCATCAAATTAATTAAAAATAAGACATAACATTTGTTCTGTTTTAATCATACAGACACCCCTTGCCACAAACATCATAGTTGCTTGGTCCTTTGTTACTTCGTCATATCATTTATTCACTTATTTCCTTCCAGAGTTATTTACTTTCCAAATGGCCAATAATTTTCTTCAATGAGCTATTCAAATATGTACACAGCAGTTTCTCTAAAATGGGAAATTCTAAAGCTATATTCCACCCAATATAGACTAAAAATACATTGTGATGTTAAAAATGCCCTGTGATGTGAAAAACTAAAAGCACATAGTAGGAGTATTATGAGATTATTTAGGAGTATTATGAGAGGGTATTATAAGGGGTATTCTGAAGATTATTGATGACCTCATCAATTGAACAATACTAAAATTGTTACTTGTCTTATTAGAAGACCACTCAGCTGGACCTCAGCAACCCCAAGTACTTATGCTTATTAATGATCCAGACAGGACAAGTACCAACCAATAAAATTTCCTCACACCACATTAATGTTTTTAACAAGTTAACACTTGCATTTGCCTTACAGTGAAAAACAGCACAGGTAGACATTTAACTTGACTTTAGTATATCTGGTTTTAATGGCAATTCCAGAAGCTTCCCAGAATCCTTCTCTTTAGAGTGATACATAAAGTGATATTGCAGTGGGTGAGTTTTCAATTCTGATATATTTATTCAATAAGATAGAACCAGAATCAAAAGTTATCTGTGAAGTTGGATTATATCACTTAAAATATTATTAAGTTATGTTAAGACCTGAAAACAGTATACAATGTGATACTACTTTCATTTGATAGGTCTATAGTCCCTGGCCAGAGAAGATACATGTTCATATTGAAAGCATAGTATCATTGTCCCCATACCATTCTGTTTTATTTCACTAGGAGCAACTTTATTTCAGTACACAACACACACAAGCCAAATGTATTCCATGACTTGCCCTCATTAATCTGGAAGTGCTTCCAAACATATGGATTTTTAAACACAAAATCCAGTTCTCCTTACTAATGTACAATATACATTTCCTTTCAGAAGTCACAGAAAACATCCTACAAGAAGGATATTTTTGTCATTTTCCTGATATTGCTGATTTTCCAACATCTGAATTAGGTTTAATGCACTATTATTTGCAAGAGCATCAAATATTAACAGCAAATAACTGAAAATAAGAAATAGATATAATAAATATATCTGATTAACACATGTACAATATATATTTTTAAATTTTTAGTTGTTTAACATACAGCACAATAGTGGTTTCAGGAATAGAATTCAATGATTCATAACTTACATTCAACACCCAGTGCTCATCACAACACGTGCCTTCCTCAGTATCCACTACCCATCTAGCCCATCACCCACCCACCTCCCTCCATCAACCCTCAGTTTGTTCTCTATCATTAGTCTTCTGTGGTTTGTTTCCTTCTCTGCCCTTCCCATATTTCTCATGGATTCATCTATTTCATTTCTTAACTTCCACATATGAATGAAATCATACGGTATTTATCTTCCACTGACTGACTTATGCTCAGCATAATACATTTTAGCTCAATCCACATCACTGCAAAAGGCAAGATTACGTTCTTTTTGATGGCTTAGTAATATTCCACTGTATGCGAAATTATTAATTCCACTGTTATTAATATTGGGCTGCATGTACCCCTTTGAATCTATAATTTGTATCCTTTCAGTGAATATCTAATAGTGCAATTGCTGGATTGTACAGTTCTATTTTTAGTTTTTTGAGGAACCTCCATACTGTTCTCTAGAATAGCTACACCAGTTTGCATTCCCACCACAGTGCAAGAAGGTTGTGCTTTCTCCATATCTTCACCAACACCTGTTGTTTCTTGTGTTGTTAATTTTAGCCATTCTTACGTGTAAGGTGCTATCTCATTGTGGTTTTGATTTGTATTTCCCTGATGACGAGTGATGTTGAGCATCTTTTCATGTGTCTGTTGGCCATCTGGATGTCTTCTTTGGAAAAGTATCTATTCATGTCTTCTACTCAATTCTTACCTGGGTTACTTGTTTTTTGGTTGTTGAATTTGATATAGATTTTTGATACTAACCCTTAATCATTTTTGTCATTTGTAAATATTTTCTCTCATTGGGTAGACTGCCTTCTAATTTGTTGATTGTTTCTTTCACTGTGCAGAGGCTTTTTATCTTGATGATATTTCATGATTGCCTTTGTTTCCCTTTCCCATGGCGACGACATGTCTAGTAAGAGGTTGCTGTGGCCAAGGTCAAAAGGTTTTTGCCTTTGTTCTCTTCTGGGATTTTTATGGTTTTCTGTCTCACATTTAGGCCTCTCATCCATTTGGAATTTATTTTTTGTATGGTGAAAGAAAGTGGTCCAGTTTCATTCTTCTGAATGTCGCCATCCAGTTTTCCCAGCACCATTTGTTGAAGAGACTATTATTTCCATATGATATTCTTTCCTGTGATAATATTAGTTGATCATATACTTGTGGGTCCATTTATCAGTTTTTTATTCTGTTGCATTGAACTATGTGTCTATTTTTGTGCCAGTAATATACTGTCTAGATGACTACAGCTTTGTAGTACAGATTGAAAACTGGAATCGTGATGCCTCCAGTTTCATTTTTATTTTTCAGGATTGCTTTTGCTATTGAGGGTCTTTTGTGGTTCCATACAAACTTTAGGACTGTTTTTTTCTATCTCTGCAAAAAATACCAGTGGTGTTTTTATTGGAATTGAATTAAATGTATACCGTGCTTTGAGTAGTATAGACATTTTAAAAATGTTTGTTTGTCTAATCCATAAGCATGGAATGCTTTTCCATTTATTTGTGTCATCTTCAATTTCTTTCATAAGTGTTCTTTTGTTTTCAGAGTACAGGTCTTTTACCTCTTTAGTTAAGTTTATTCCTAGGTATCTTAGTGTTCTTGGTGTGATTGTAAATGGGATCGATTCCTTGTTTTCTTTTTCTGCTGCTTCATTATTGGTGTATAGAAATTCAACAGATTTCTGTACATTGATTTTAATTTTTTTAATGTTTATTTTTTTTTGAGAGAGAGAGAGTGAGTGGAGGAGGGGCAGAGAGAGAGAGAGAGAAGGAGACACAGAATTCTGAAGCAGGCTCCAGGCTCTGAGCTGTCAGCACAGAGCCTGATGCAGGGCTCGAACTCACAAGCTGTGAGGTCATGACCTGAGCAGAAGTCAGATGCTCAACTGACTGAGCCACCCAGGTGCCCCTGTACATTGATTTTATACCCTGTGACTTTGCTGAATTCATGTATTATTTCTACCCATTTTTTAGTGGGATCTTTCAGGTTTTCTACATAGTTTATCATATCGCCTGCAAATAGTGAAAGTTTGGCTTTTTCTTGCTGATTTGGATGATTTTTATTTCTTCTTGTCTGCTGAGGCTAAGACTTCCAGAACTATGTTAAATACTAATGGTAAGACATGGGAAATAGGTTCAAGAATTCCTTACACTTACATAAATGGGTTAAAAAGGCTTAGGGTGAAAAGCTGCCACAGGGCAAAAGCGCTCAAGTTTTGTCATTAAATAGAGCAAGGCATAGAGCAGAAAGTGCGGCAGGGTGAAAGCACCCAAGGTTAGATAGCAAAATGAGTAACTTGCTATACTTAAAGCTGCATGCTCCATCAATTTTAAAATTTAAAGAAAACAGCTAATTAGTTGTATCACCTACAGGAAACTACTTTCCATCTGGAACCAGTGTAGTATTATGCTTTGATCACAGCTTCAAAGGCCACTTGCCCCCCAGACCCTTTGCTTCTTATACACACGAGTTAATGACTACTACCTGATTGTTTTCTTCTGCACATTCACCATGTATGTAAGATCTTGAAAGCTCGGTAAATATGGGGACGAAATCCCTGTCTGGGGCTCTTGTCTCCTCCCAGACATTAGACTCCCTCATTTTTATTTCTGCATTTTCTCTCTTGTCAGATAAGAAAGAACTTAGGATTCCTGATCTTTGACAGTAAGAGTGGGCATCCTCATCTTGTTTCTGACCATAGGAGAAAGACTCTTTTTTTTCCCCATTGAGGATCATATTAGCTATGGGTCTTTCATAGATGGCTTTTATGATGTTGAGATATGTTACATCTATCCTTATTTTGTGGAGGGTTTTTATCAAGAATGGATGCTGTATTTTGTCAAATGCTTTTTCTTCATTTATTGACAGGATCAAATACTTGTTATCTCTTCTTTTATTAGTGATGTATCACATTGACAGATTTGTGAATATTGAACCTGTCATGCAGCCCAGGAATAAATCCCACTTGATAATGGTGAATAATATTTTTAATGTACTGTTGAATTACATTTGCTAGTATCTTCTTGAGAATTTTTGCATCCAGGGTCATCAGAAATATTGGCCTGTAAGTCTCATATTTAGTGGGGTCTTTGGTTTTGGAATCAAGGTAATATGGCTTCATAGGATGAGTTTGGAGGTTTTCTTTCTATTTCCATTTTTTGGAATGGTTTGAGAAGAATAGGTATTAACTCTTTTTTAAATGTCTAGTATAATTCCCTTGAGAATCCATCTGCCCCAGGATGCTTAGTTGTTGGGAAATTTTTTATTATTGATTCAATTTCTTTGCAGGTTATGAGTCTGTTCAAATTTTATATTTCTTCCTGTTTCAGTTTTTGTAGTTTGTGAGTTTCTTTTTTTTAATATGAAATTTATTGTGAAATTGATTTCCATACAACACCCAGTGCTCATCCGAACAGGTGCCCTCCTCAATACCCATCACCCACCCTCCCCTCCCACCCCCCATCATCCCTCAGTTCGTTCTCAGTTTTTAGGAGTCTCATGTTTTGGCTCCCTCCATCTGTAACTATTTTTTTTCCTTCCCCTCCCCCATGGTCTTCTGTTAAGTTTCTCAGGATCTACACAGGACTGAAAACATACGGAGTCTGTAATTCTCTGTATGA